CGCACTCCACACGTAGCTCGAGCCAGCTGCCTGCAAAAGACCCTCCCCATAGCGATAATTTTACATGCAAAATTCAGGCTCCCCACAAGAGACTGCAGGCCCCTTAAGGTCACCTTCCTTGAACCCCGTACTTCCCCCACCCGTTGGCGGAGAGCCAACAGCTTATCCACCGGCAACCGACATTCCCCTTTTACCGAGTCGATTTCCAGCCCTAGGAAGTTCAAGCACTCCGTCGGGCCCACTGTCTTTTCCCCGGCCAACGGGATCCCAAAGGCATGTGCCACCCACTGTAAGACCCGCAGTATCTGCCCACAGCGGTCGGAACCCGCTGGCCCTACGCACAAAAAGTCATCCAAATAGTGCACCACCGCACCCCCAGCTGACTCTTGCCGTACCACCCATTCGAAAAAGGAGCTGAACTTTTCAAAGTACGAGCAGGAAATAGAACAGCCCATGGGCAAACATAGGTCGACGAAAAAGGCTTCGTCGAAACAACACCCCAATAAATGGTGACATTCCGGGTGAATAGGAAGTAACCTAAAAGCTGCTTCCACGTCAACCTTCGCCATTAACGCCCCCCGCCCGGCTCTCCGAACCAACTCGACCGCCTGGTCGAATGATGCATATGAGACCGAGCTTAGGGCTGCGTCAATGTCATCATTGACTGACGTCCCCTTTGGGTAAGACAAATGGTGTATTAAACGGAATTTGCCTGGTTCCTTCTTGGGGACCACCCCGAGCGGGGACACCCTCAAATTTGGCAGTGGCGGGGCCACAAAAGGTCCTGCCATCCTACCCAGCTTTACCTCCGCCAGCAATTTGTCCCGCACCACCCCTGGATGTTCCCGTACGGATCGCAGGTTCGTACATAAAGCCCCTGGTCCCCTCCCCTTAAATGGAATAGTAAACCCCTCTGTAAACCCCCTCCTCAAAAACTCTGCGTCTGCTCGGTTAGCGTAACGTCTTAGCCACGGCAGCATCACGCCTACCTTCACTGGGGTTGCCCCCAGCGGTAGCTGCGGAGGCCGCTGCGTTGCTGGGACCTCCTCCTGAAGCCGGCTTCCCTCTCTTGAAACACCTGTTAGCCCCATGTGTACCCCCGCAGCCAGAGCACTCGTGTTTGAATCTGCACGATGTACCCCACTTGCATTGACCCTCGTTGAAGAGCCAGCAAAAACCCTTCTTTTGTCCGGCCGGTGCCGATCCTCCCGGTACCGCACCGGCCGCCCCGTGAAAGGGCGCAGCCTTCTGCGCCATCATCAGTCTCATCCATAAGGGTAGGTCCATTTGATCCCACCGCATACTAGGATTCGCCGCTAAACGCTGGCGGAACTGCTCATCGTATTTCCACCATGCTACTCCCCCGTATGTTCGGTACGCGTCCCCAATCCCGTCCAGATAACAAAAAAGTTGTGAGCAGCGGTCGGGGAATTTTTCCCCGATAACACTGGCCAATATGCAAAAGGCCCGTAGCCAGTTCGCAAATGTTTTAGGGATCTTCCTATATCTACGCCTTTTCTCTTCTTCCTCCTTCTTTGCGTCCTTCTTGTCCTCCTCTTTCAAGTCAAGAAACTCCTCCAGAGGAAGAAGGGCAAAAACTTCCACAAACTCACCTTTCCAAATCTTGTCCTTCAACTCGGCCCTAAGATGACAGCCTAAGGGGCCCGCGAAAGAAACGTGAACATTTTGCCGCGCTGCGTCGGTAATCTCGCCGCCTACGTCCGTCTTGTCGCCCGTCCCCCCTACCGACCCAGATGCGGCTACCCTGGTGTCATCACTCCCCGTGCTAGCCTGTCCCGCGGACGTAAGACCCGCCACCGGACCCCACACCCTCGAGAATTGCGGAGAAGCCCCCTCCCTACTGGCCCAAGAATCTAAGAACGACTTTAAACCGCTTAACCATGAATCTGTGTGTGGTGTACCAGATGACTCACCGCCAGAGCCCCCGGCCGCGGAGGGCCGCGGGGTCGCTATCCTTCCATCCGCCGCGCACGGCTCCGGAGTGTCCAAGAGACGCCGACTCCTTTCTGCCTGGTCCCGCCTCGGGACCGTTGGTGTAATGCTCCGCGACCTGTAAGAAGAAGAACACCTGGGTAGTCTGTTCATGGGTCTCCCTACCCGCCCTTCCTCCCTACGCTCCCTTCCAGCGTTCCTACGCTTGCCCCGCTTAGTTGCCTGGCCCTCCTGGCCGCAATTGCTATCCCGCTGTCCTTGGGAGCTCTCGTCTGAGGACCCAGAAGCGCTGCGCCGTTCCGTCCTCCCCCTGCCCCTGTAGGCCGACCCCGGCCTACTGCAACTATCAGCTGACAGGCTCCTCTCCCTGGCGCTCCATGTACCCTCCTGCCTGGCGCTTTCCTCGCGCCGTTCCCTGCTGACTCCAGGTCTGGGGTTGTGTATAACTCCTGGGCGCCCCTGGGAGGTGCACCTGCGGTCCCCCCGTATCCTCCTAACCCCAGCGTCCGAATCCGCATCAGACCATTGAGAAAGGACCCCTTGTGACGCCAACCCGTCAGTAAGGGGGTCCCTGCGCTGACCCAGGCAGCCAGAATCCCCTGCTGCTGCTGTCTTGGCCTGCCTCTGACGTCCTAGCTGGGAAACCCGGTCGGCTGTCCCCCTGCTGTCATGCCTGGCCCCAACCCTGGCCGTACCCACTGAGCCCTTACTGGTATGAGCCCCCTCTGCCCCCAGGGGAGCTGTCAGCCCGTCTCCCACATCCAACTGCCTGCCCCTTTGCCGCCCGGGTGTAACACCGGAGGCAGACTCACCGGGACGCCCTTGGGCTGTGTCATCCCCTCCACTGGCCTCTGCACACATGGCTGTCCTGGAGGCCGCCGCCGCTCCTGGCACCCTGCCGTTCGCCGTCCGCCGGGCGGCGCTCCGCGTGGTAGGCCGCAGAGCCGTCACCGGCCTAATCGCCGTCCGTGCCCGACCGGCACCACGTCGAACAGACGGTGCCGGCGGCGTTTTTTCTGCCTCCTCCCGGCCGGCCCCCACAGCCAGGGACCCGCCCGCGTCCGCGGACGGGCTCAGACGCCGCCGTGCTGCAGGCATCACGCCCGGACTCAGCCGCTGGGGCGGTCTCGCCCTCCTCACCGACCGCCGTTCCGCTGCCGCAGGGGGTGCATCACTGGTCCCAGGAACCCCCAGCTGCTGTTGAAGCCAGGCCATCCCCCTGTCACGCACAGCCGCTCTCACTCCGTCCAGGATCTCGTCCAGCGAAGCCATCTGCAAAATAAAGAACAAGAAACCACACAGACCTGCCAAAACAATTAACAGGTAAGTGCAGATTCTGGTTAAAATGGCCACTTGCTAAAATGGCCGCTTAATATACTCCCTCTATTCTCCACCCCTTATTACAATCCATTCCTATATTCCCACCCCTAAAATTATAACTCCACCTGCCTACTCCTTGGCTCTGTCAAGGCCCATTCCCCTGACTGCGCTGATCCATGGGCTTCAAGAAATAAGTGCCAGGTCACTGGCGGTGGGAGGAGGAGAGGGGAGGGTGAGGGGGGGGCAGTCAGATTGTTCGCCTCTCACTCGCCACATAAGTAGGACCCCTGTAGGCAGCAGGTCTGCTGTGATTGATGTCACGGCAAGGGTGCACAATTTATTGTTACATTAAATAGCAATATACTGTAGTGCAACTTGTGTAGGGCATACATGAATTGGCCGCTTGGTAGAGGACAGATGTCAGAAAAGGGTTAATGTAAATTATATAGAAATGTGAGGTCAGATGGTTTACAACATACATTGCTCTTTTGATCAACCAAGGCTTCTGCGAGGTATAAAATGTTACAGATTAATTGCCTTTGAGTCTCCTTCAATTTTAACAAACTCTCTAATGTATGCAGGGCCAGATTAAGAGCCCAGTGGGCCTGGTGCTGACAATTATGACGGGCCTAATTACAAAATCATATCGACCAAAAACAGTAAAACACTCCCAAGCATCATATACCTGATGGAGATGGTGCTGAAGAGAAAGAAAAAACAGCAGCTATAAGAAAAACACATACCCTAGGCTAATCTCTCTCTAATTTATGTTTTCATCTTTCAAGTAAATCCATAATTCCTAACAGCAGTGTCCAGTCAAGCAGGAAGTAAATGGGCATGGTAAAAGGTTGTGCCACTGACACAAATCACTTAACCTGCCAAAAGGTGCGAACATGCCCAAAAAGAGGACATGTCTGCTCAAAGAATTAGAAGGCCAGCCTGGCATGAATGCATGTCAGGCTGCCTGCCAATCATGCAGCTGGCCAACTAAGGGCATACTATGCAGACAGCACCCTGAGCTTGGCATAAATGCATCTAATGATGCGCTCACTCAACGCTTTCTAAGGACTGTCCCCTAGCACTCGCTAGTCCACTTGTCTCCTTACCTTCTTACTAGCAGGCAGAAGCTCCTGGTATATGGTCTGGGACAGAGAAAAGCTGTATGTAGTGAGTGTAGAAGAAAGGGAACATGCCACAGTGTTAGAGAGACCAAAGTCAGCATTACCTTAAAGGATAACTATAGGGTCAGGAACACAAACATGAATTCCTGACCCTATAGTGTTAACACCACCATCTAGCCCCCTGGGCCCCTCATGCCTCCATTAATATAGCAAAATCTTACTATATTCAAGCCTGAAGCTGTAACTCTACATGCTGTTAGACTCATAAAAACAAGCAGTCTGCTGACATCATTAGAAGTGGTGGCCTGATCCAATCACAGTTCTTCCCCATAGGATTGGCTGAGACTGACAAAGAGGCAGATCAGGGTCAGAGCCAGCATGATTCAAACACAGCCCTGGCCAATCATCATCTTCTTATATAGATTAATTTAATTAATCTCTATGAGGAAAGTTCAGTGTATGCATGCAGACGGAGGAGACACTGAATGTTTGGATGCATTTTAGGCAGCCATTACCCAGGAAGGATCTCTAACAGTCATCTAAGGAGTGGCCAGTGAAGTTATCACTAGGATGTAATGTAAAGACTGCATTTTCTCTGAAAAGACAGTGTTTACAGCAAAAAGCCTGAAGGTAACGATTCTACTCACCAGAACAAATTCAATAAGCTGTAGTTGTTCTGGTGACTATAGTGTCCCTTTAACTATATTCATTGTCAGCCAGTCCACACAAGTTTTGTTCCCATACATCCCTCTTAAGTTTCCATACTTAAGAGTATGTGAAAAGTAGTTAGGGTTGCCACCTTTCTTGGAAAAACATACCGGCCTTACTAATTTGCATAATAAAATATGTATGGCTGACATCACATGATGTAAATCACAAGGAGTGACATAAGAGAAAATGCTGTAGAATCACCAAAAACTACTTAATTTGATTCTGCTGTATAGATGGATTCCTCCCAGTGCCCCCATGGCTCCCAGTGCCCTCATGACTCAGTGCCCCCATGTGTCAATTACTCCAGGTCTCAGTGTTCCTATGTATCAGTGTCTCAGTGCCCCAGGGGACACTTGAAGACATGGGGACACAGACACTAGAGACACTAGCTTGGAGACATGGGGACATTGAGACATGGGGACACAGAGACACCGGGTCCACAGACACTAGGGACACTAGCATTGGGACACTTGAGGCAATGAGAGACATGGAGGCACTAGGAGACATGGGGACAGTGAGACACTGGCTGACTGGGGGCACTGGGAGAATATGGGGGCACTGAGACACCAGGGGCACTGGCTTGGAGACATGGGGACATTGGGACACTTGAGGCAATGAGAGACATGGAGGCACTAGGAGACATGGGGACAGTGAGACACTGGCTGACTGGGGGCACTGGGAGAGTATGGGGGCACTGAGACACCAGGGGCACTGGCTTGGAGACATGGGCACACTGTGTCCCCATGTGTCTGTGTCATAATATCTCCCAGTGTCCCTTAGTGTCTCAGTGTATGTCTCCTTGCAGCCTTTCCCCCCATCCCTTACTTCCCTGAGCTGTAGGATGTCTCTGCAGGGTGGGAATTGCTGTCTGGACTCTCTGTAGCTGCACCCCTGCAGATCAGTGAGTATAGATAGGCAGGGAGGGATATGCTGGAACTTCCTATCCCTGCCTGTCTCCACACACAGTGACCTCTACTGGCCAGTGCTGGTATTGCATAGTAATCTCTTGTTTATACTGATAAAAATACCAGCATTTGTATTGCCAGTATCGCTGCAATATTGGCACCAGCCAGGCAGCCTCAAATACTGGCTGTGCCAATAAAATAAAAGCCAGGTGGAATCCCTAAGAGTAGTGTGTGAAAAAAAAATGTAAAAAAAAAAAAAAAAATTTTTTTTAAATCAGTGGGCCTATTCCATGGGCCTGGGCCTGGAGCTGCAGCTCCATCAGCCCCTATGTTAATCCGGCCCTGAATGTATGTCTAGGTTCCGTCATAGATAGGGGGTTCTTTGAAGAGAACTCTTGTGTCCCAGTGTTTCCAAAAAGAAACATTAGTAATAACACATTAATAAGCTATTTTTGTGCATATTTCGAATGGGGAAATCCCACCCTTCAGAAAAAGTCTAAATATAACAAGAACAGCCTAAAGGGACACTATAGTCACCAGTGCAACTACATGTATAACTGACCCTATAGTGTTAACACGACCATCTAGCCCCCCCTGGGCCCCTCATGCCTCCATAAATATATTAAAAATCTTACTGTATTCAAGCTAGAAGCTGTAAATCTGCATGCTGTTAGACTCGGGAAAAACAAGTAGTCTGCTGACATGTGATAGCCTGATCCAGTTACAGTGCTTCCCCAAAGGATTGGCTGAGACTGACAAAGAGGCGGATCAGGGGCAGAGCCAGCATGATTCAAACACAGCCCTGGCCAATCAGCATCTCCTCATAGAGATGGATTGAATCAATGTATCTCTATGAGGAAAGTTCAGTGTCTGCATGCAGTGGGAGGAGATACTGAATCACAGGATGCTCATGCACAGCAGATCTGACTGGATGGAGGCATATTATGCCTCCATCAACTCAGAAGTCCTTCTGGTTCACTCTGAGTGACTGCAACTGGAGGTGTTCCTAGCTTTCAATGTAAACACTGTATTTTCTCAGAAAATACAGTGTTTACATGAGAAAGGCTGCATGGAGCTATAGTTCTCACCTGAACAACCTCATTAAGCTGAAGTTGTTCAGGTGACTATAGTGTCCCTTTAAGTGTTTGGAAGGAATTATGAAGTTCATCGTATTAGGTCATAAGTAAGATGTGTGACATATCTATGGAATTGAAAAATTACAACCCAAGGGGGGTCACTTATTTCTATAAATTCACCTTATCTCAACCTCTGAACCAGGCCTGGAAACCTGAGATGTATCCAGAGGGTATATATCCAATGGTATGTGAATGTCTGTAATACTTGCTGGGTGCCAAAAGCCCAATTACTTTAGAATTAAACTATAAATTTAATCTGAAAGCACAGTCTGGAGTTGGAATTGCAGAAGATCAGTATGTCGTCCAAGTAGCTCAGACAACGGCTGCTATGGGTTTGAAGGTGCGCTACACCCGGCTTCAGGAGATAGGTGAAGCACCATAGTGCGGAACTGAGTCTAAAAGGTAGACATATGAATTGGCATGGATGGCCCTGCCAAATGAACCATAGGAAATGTTTCTCTGGCACCACCTTGATGGTGAGTGGAAAAAATGAGGGCGATGGTACTTATTTCCTGGGATTTGTATCCTAGAAGCGGATGGTGGCTTGACCCCTCTGCCGACTAGTCCTGCCAAAAACACCCCTGCCAGGGTTAGTATGAAACACTCGTTTTAGAGACACCTGGGCTTTGTTAAGCATGGTAAATAGGTCCACGTGCTTTTTGAGCTCTGTAATGAACAGTTCATTCATTACAGAATCTCAGTAAATGATCCCAGTTTGTTATCTATCTTCAACAGAGCAACCTTGCGTTGTTCCTTGCAGAGGGACACATTTGTGTTGCCCAGCATGAATATCGGGCCCATTCTCAAATACCATTGAGATGCAGTGAAGTGCCATGATAGAGCGCCAGGACTGTGTAAAACAAAATCATAGCTGAGCAGTTTATCTCAGTTCGTCTTCAGATACTCTTCAATTTCCTTGTGGGGGGGTCACGCCCCTATCTTGTCATGAATACTACAACCGTTGTTTTGATGTCCGGGACCAGTGGGCAAGGACACTCAACTCGAAAGTGTGTGCCCACCTCCTTTTCCAATGGCTAACGCAGCATTAATGCAAGCACCATTTGGAAAATCTTGGGTGTCTAATGGAGCGTAGATCAAGTTAAGGTATTCCTTGCGTGTCAATAAACACGTCGTCGTCATCCTTGCTTACTAGTTTGCGGTAATGCTTCTTGCATACTTGTAAGTGGAGGTAATGTGGTATGAGTGCCAAATAAGAGGCGGTCACCCTCTAGTAACCAGTGTCAGCGGTCACGCTTTTACATAAGGAGGCTTTTCTTAGAATGGGAATGGGTAAAATGGAAAACACTGACAGTCTCATAAATCAATTAGGGGGGTCACCCATTTAGTGTCCCAATAGGATGGGAAAGGTACCAATGGAGGGGGTAACTCTCTTATGAACAGCCCACTAGGTGGTCAGGGCATATGAATGTTGGACGCAGTGGAGCTGTACCTTTGTAACTTTATGACTGGTGCCATTGGTCACATTTTTACACAAGGGGGTTCCCTTGATAGAATGGAAGACACTGACAGTCTCATAAATCAATTAGGGGGATCACCCCTTTAGTGTCCCAATAGGATGGGATAAGTACCAATTGAATGGGTCACTCTCCTATGATTAGCCTGGCAGGTGGTCAGGGCATATGTAGGTGGGGGGCTTGGCAGAGCTGTACCCATGGGACAACAACTCTACGACCGGTGCCAGCTTTCATGTTTTTACACAAGGGGCTTACCTTGGTAGAATGGGAGACACTGACAGTCTCATAAATCAGTTAGGGGGGTCACCCCTTTTAGAGGGGGGTCACCCCTTTTATGTCCCAATATGATGGGGCAGGTACCAATTGAGGGGTCACCCAGGTGGTCAGGGTGTATAAATGCGACTAGTTGATGCAGGAAGTAAGGCTTTAATCCATATGTTATCGGTAAGGGGGTCATATGTGAGTATGAGAGAAAATGCCTGAGTGGAGGTTCACCCCAGTGGTAAGGGGAGTCACCCCTTTTATTATGCAGCCACTTGGTCAGCCTGCAGACAAACAAAGGGGCATACCCATGTACAGGTGTCATGTGGTACCACTAGATATTGGCAATAACTCTTCCAATGACAAATCCTGTAACATATATTGACACAATGCAGGGGGGTCACCCCTGTAAGTAAACCACAGTAATTTCATTATTAGTAGAGGTAACTAAGAACTGGACCTTTTCTCTTTTAGGTACATGGTGATTATCACAATTGATAATAAGGGAAGCATCTGACTTGCAGGAGTATTTCCATATAACGTTTTTTTATTATTATCATTACTATTATTATTGTCATTTATATAGCGCCCACAGATTCCGTAGCGCTTTACAATATTATGAGAGGGGGAATCTAACTATAAATAGGACAATTACAAGAAAACTTAAAGAAACGATAGGTTGTAACAATAAAAGACAATTAGCAGATAAATGTATAGATGAACAGTCATTGTAGGAGGGAAAAAAACGCAGTCCCACTTCAGACCATGTAAATCACGATCTGAATATACTAAAATGCCCGCAGAGGATCTCACAACGTTTTGCAAGATCTAAAATAGCTGCCATTTGTGACAAAACCCGGCTGCTGAGAATTTGCAGTCATATTCCTGCTGGAGCAAACAAAGAGTGTGCCCTGTGCCCCCTCCACCCACAACACCCTACCCAAGGTACAAGCCAGCATAAAATAATGTGATTGTGGCAACCGTAACGTGCAATGAAATAAAAGCAGGTCACCAGTGGCTGAGAGTCCTAGACCGGTGTATTTTTTATTAACGCAAGAGGCACAGAGGTAGGGATGGCACAGAAAGGGCACTAAATGATGGGTTTGGAAAGGTAAAAGCACACATTGAAAACAGTAATATAACAGGGTCTGCAGGCCTGCCGCCTATCATGAGTATAGTGCTGGTTGCCCCCACCTCCCACAGAATTCCCCAATAAGCTCTAAATAGAGGCCACTAACAGACAAAATAGAGCAAGGGGGAGAGAGCCAGGAAAGCCCCAGGCCCAAGCAGGAAGTCGAGGAAAAGCAGAAGGCCACAGGGAAGGCTAAAAGAAAG